CACGCAGTTGCTATACTGAAATTATGCATCTTCAAAATGTTCTGAAATGAATCACTCCAGATTCCATGTCTCATATCTTTATTTTCTCCTTTGTATCTCTAGTTCTAAAAATCTTGGAGATGACATTAAAGCATAGTTTTTAGTAGGAAAAAGAATTAAGCCTTCTGTTCTTCTTCGTTTAGTTTTCCAAACTAAATGCAATAACTGAGGAACTTCATGTTTCACAGAAATGAGGATGGGAGTTACAGGGTTGGGGGAAATTACCAATTCTGTTTTGCTGCATAATGTGTCTGTGTGAGCTCTTTCCTGCTGTAGCTTATGTAGCTGCTGTATACACTGGGCTGGTATACTTACTGTTGAATTCCAGCACATTGTATGAATGCCTGGCAAGCTAGTAACTTGCTATTCTTTCTACATTATATGCACCTAAGGACGTACAAGGACTTGCTTTTTGTATGTAATCTGAATCTCAGAAGTTCAATTCTGCTATTATTTTTAGGGTACTTGTAAGAGAGGGAACTTTCCCATCAGTCTGTCACTGAAGCTGTGGGATGAACCAATTGGTGGGATCAGTGTTTTCAAGGGGAACATGGAAAAATCACCATTATGTGTTTTGCCTTGATGTGAGGAACAATGCAAAGTGAAGAGTGACAGTCAAGCCTTGGTTTAAAATAGCAGCTGAATTGTCTACCTCAAGGCATGAATATGCTGAAGACTCCTTTTTAAAAGACTATACTGAACTCTTAATGTGTTGACTGTGCACTTGACATATAATTAAGCATTTGAACCTTTCTCTAATCTCTGTGTACAAGAAGATAAAGGATGCTTGGAGAATTGTATCAATAAGATGATTTATACAAAGCTCATAATGCTAACACTTTTGATGTGCTTTAAGCTTCTGCCTTCATATCCCTGTCAGCTCAATCCACTGCACACATCTTCTGAGTCAAACTAGTATAAGCCAAGGAGGGGAGAACTGTGTTCCGTTAGAATTTTTCTAGCTAGAGAAGAAATCTTTTCCTTCATCAGTAACTTGTGACAGACTATAGGGACTTAGGAAATAGATGAAGTGATAGATTGTTTCTCATGCGGTGGTTACAAAGAGATTTCAAGTGATGAAGGTTCAGTACAAAAAGAAAATCTGTTTGTGCTAGCACTTCAGACTGTGCTCAAGAACTGGTCATTAAAAAGTTAGATCATCAAAGTGCTGCTTTGCTCTGGGGAATAACATAACTGTCAAAGGTGTCTGCAAGAACATGAAACATTAGCCAGTCATAGGTCTTTTGTAGATGAGCTATGGACAGATGCTGTGTGTCAAATTTTGTACCCTTCCCCCACAGTTTTCAACACAGACATCTGCAGGACATGGCAGAGCCACTTTCTGTAACTAGAATAACAACTTCTTCGATGCTTGTTATTTCTCTTTAAGAGGACCTACGTACTGATAGTGGCCATCTTTAACATAAAAACCTCTTCCTTCAGGTGATCTTGTTATCACTTCTTAAATATTACTGCTTCCTTATTATTAGAGATGTTTTTCCTTCATACGTTGCTTGGGCTAAATGAAATCTTTGCAAAGAACTACTGAGCAATGTAACTGTAGGTAAGGCCTTGTTCTGAATGTAGAACTTGCACTGAAGAAGCCTAGTCTTAATAGAAACTAAGCACAAAGCTGATGTTATAAAAGATAATGGTTTTGTCTTGTCCTAAAACTACTTCAGATTGCAGGCATGAAACAAAAATAATGGAAGTGAGCACACACTTCAGACTTTGTGGGGAGATGCTGATCCAGGTTCAACAGAGTATAAGCAAAGAAAGTTTTCAGCACTGTGCGGCTGGTCCTAAGCTGCTGAGAAGACTGTAGGAAGTATTTCAGTCCTGTGTCAGAAGAAGAAGTGGAAAATGGGATCCCTTTTGAGTTTAGGACAAGGATTGCATGAGAGTCTCCGAAGAGAATTGAGGTACTTGTAAAAACTGAGTGGAGGAAGCTTCTTCAGCTCCTTGCCAGTGATTACTTTGAAATGTCAGAAAAAATAGGGAAAACCTGAGAAAGTTACTGTGAATATTCATTCTTAATGAAGAACAACTCTGCCATCTGGCCTCCGTTGATTTTGCTAAGACTCCTTCTTACCCTCAAAAGACCTATTTGAAATCAAGTTCTTTGTTTCTAACTATATATGTAGCATCTTTAATCTGTTTCCTCATTTTCTTTGCTAGCTTCACACAGCAGTTATTGCAGGGACCATGCAAATGTAAAAAGATAAATTCAAAATTTGTCCCCAGAATGATAAAGGAATTGCAGCTGAGATTACACCCTGAACCTTTTGATAGCTAATGATAATTTTATTCTGTATATTTATATCTCTGTATAATTTGTCATGGACCAAGTTGTGGTCATATGGGGAGCATTCTTCAGTTTATTGGCCCACTATACAGGGGAATACAACAGACAGAGTAAGCAGTATTTAAGGTTGATCTTAAACTGGGTATTCACAGCAGCTAACCTTAGCCTGTGCTTGCTCTGTACTCAGTGGGTACAGAGAAGGGAGAAGGCTCCTTCAGAAGGACTATTCATAATAACAAAATAAAGTTCTTAAAATCTGGTTAGCCTTAATGTTTGATTCCTACACAGATTATGATTATGATCTCCCATACGCTAGTCAGGTGAACAGCCATTTGTAAGGAAGAGCAGGGAAGAACTTATACTTCACAGAATAACTGAAGAAATTATTTGCAGGGATAGCAATAACTGCTATAAGTCTCCCTGCAAGTTATGTATAAGCTTGAGTTTTTGCACACTGTACTATCAAGTTAGTGTTCAGTGAAACAGATGGAAAATAAACGCCCCCCCCCGAAAACTGAGGTGCTGGAGCGTGTCCAGAGAAGGGCAACGAGGCTGGTGAAGGGTCTGGAGCACAAGTCTTATGAGGAGCGGCTGTTATTGAAGCTACAGTGTGTGCATGTGAGAAATGCCAAAAAGGGCTGAGCTACATGCATTTCCTTGTGCCCTAATAATCATAGTATCCATAGTAATCTTTTAGATCACTTACTTACGACAGCAAACTAAATGGTATAATTTTTAGTGTAGTTTAAATGGTACACTGAAAGGGTTGTCAAGCATTGGAACAGGCTGCCAGGGAAGTGGTTGAGTCACCATCCCTGGAGGTATTTAAAAGACGTGTAGATGTGGTGCTTAGGGACATGGTTTAGTGGTGGACTTGGCAGTGCTAGGTTAACAGTTGGACTTGATGATCTTAAAGGTCTTTTCCAACCTAAATGATTCTATGATTTGCTAAAAAAAAAGTATGTACTGCAAGCACATACATTAAATCCTCTTTCAACTGAAGAAGTAGGTCGAGTGTTGGACAGAAAGGGTTTATTTTTCTGTGCAGCTGATGCATTGAACAAAACTATAAAAATGTTTCAATCGTTGTTTGTTAATATGTAGCTGAAAAAAGGAATATAGGTTGACTGCTTCATTGTTTCCAGGGCAGTGATAAAAGTTACATCTCCTTAGCAGAAACATCATCATTTGATTTTGAAGGCTGCATAACAGAGTTTTTAGTTATTTCCCCGTAGCTAATAGGAGTTTCATAGGGTAGATATTTCAGTTTGTTAACATGGTATACATGGAAATGTTGAGGCATGTTCACACTCAATGGTTATTGCCATCGCTTGCAGTTGAAGTATCTTTGAAAGTGTTAGAGCTATTAAAAGTTACTTCTGTAAGTCGATGAAGGTTTTTCAGTTGTTTTCGGTTTTTTTTAAGTTCTCTGAGGGTGATAAAGATGAGGGTCATAGGCAAATGCGTTTTGACTGCTGCTTATATTTCCTTTGCAATGTATGAAATGATTCTTTTTATGTTATTATGAACTTTAAAATAAGCTACTTCTGTATGAGGATATCTGTGGTGTGGTACATTCATAAGTAAGTTCCAACAAAGAATTGAAGATGATTCTTTGGTCAGATGTATGATTCTTGCATGAAAATATATCACGGTGAAGGAAAAAAAAATAAAGCTAGGAATCTTAAGTACTATATATTAGCGCACAAACACTTCATGTTACAGTTGAGTTGTTACAAAGACAACTGGGATTTTTTGCATACGGACTATTATCTACTGAGATTTGGTTATTTCCATGTGTATTCTAGGAAATAATGAGAAATAATGTAATGTTCTGTTTTCTCTGTTCGTGATTCTCACAAATTCATAAAAAATGTGGACCTTGTTATATTTCTACCTGTTTTAAAAGCATTATTGGAAGGAGTGTTTTCCATGATGAAAGGGTTTGGGCAGATATCTGTTAAATCCTGATTTTGATAAGGCTGAGCTCAGTGACAAGCGTATGAGTTTTGTGAATGGATTAAAAAAACAGAAACAGTAAAACTGATTGTAAGTGCCTTTTAAAATAATAAAGTGAAGCTTATAGTAGTTAGCTTATGTATTTGCAAGCAGCAGGATTTATACTTAAGAGATATGAGTAGATTATATGCGAAGGGAAATGCTGTTTCTTTTAAAAATAAATAAATCCCACGAATAAAGTAGTGTTCCTTCTTTCTTCACATTTGTCCCTTTTTTCCATGAAAGAAAATGGCTATCCTAATTGAGTCTTTTCCTGGATAACTGTTCACTAGTTCATTGCCTTAGATTTTGATAGCTTATGAGAAGAAAAACTCCCAAAGGTGTATTTGATGAATCTTAAGAAAGAGAACTATTAGAGGAATTTTTAAGTGTGAATTACCATTTTCCCATAGGATAGCCATAAGGATATTTTTGTACATTCATAATTCTTTTTTTTTTTTTTTTTTTTAAATTGTCTGGGTTTTGCTCAAGTAATCTTCTTAATGCAAATTATTGTATATGGTAATTTATCTGCATTGAGAGTAGTACATCCGTTAGGCTCCTAAGGTCAAAGGTGAAGTTGACTTTTGCCAGTTATCATTATTATTCAAATAGCATAGAATAAGTACAATGATTAATATACTACTTTTTTTTTCAGATTTCTCAGGGGACAAAATTTTGCTTATTCATACCTTCTACTGTGGCAAAAATGGATTATTTTCCTCACCAAAAACCAGCAGCATAACACTCAACTGACACATGCCTCAAGGAACTCTTATTTAAAGTCTGTTGTAAGTAAGTCAAATTAAAAACTTGCTTAAAGGTAGCTTTAATCAGCTGTGTATCTGTTTACAGCTCAAGAATAAGCAGCCTTAACAGGAGAACTAATCTTAGCAGTCTGGCTTTTCAGCAGCAGCTGTCTGTTCTTAAATGGAAGCATAGGAGGAAGTAACTTGCTGTAAAGCAGAGTTTGAGGTTGAGCTGCTTCCTGACCACTGCATGCCAATGTCTCATACCTGTGTTCTCTTCCGCTCCCCACACCCCCCGTTAAAAGTTGACTGCGATACATTGCAAATCAGAAGCTATGGGGTTATGCATGAATAACATGATCGAAAAGATTGTCTGCATTGTAAATGAAGACTTAAGCTCCTGTTGCTATGACAATTAATTTTAGAATTTGCAATGTAGAAATAGGGGGCTAAATAACTCAAAATGTAAGAAACAGCAAGTGGTTAAGCTGGTCTTCATTGTGTTGGTTGTTGAGCTGCATGCATTTTGTGGTGCCTGTAGGCCCAAGTGCTTCATTTTTAATGCAACGCAAACTTGAAAAAATTAATGAAACTCCATATTATATATATCCAATAATGGTTATTCAGCCATCTTGCTTTTTACATACTGAAGTAAATTTTATGCATGTGGAGTATTTGCAGAGTACGTTATATGTTTTTGTGAGAGAAAACTGTGTTAAGATTAGAGTTTTGGCCAGCATACCTTCTTTATTTGAAAGAAGGATGACATTTGGAGGAATATGTTCAATATTTGGAAACAATATCTTCTTGCAGAGTCAGGAAAAATTTATAAATGAGGAAAATGAGTAAAAAAAAATAAGGAAAAAATCTGAATGAGGAAAAAATCTAGTTTGTTCATATTGCTTCTGCAGAGATATATTCTAGCGGAAGAGATGCACGTTACTTAATGAAACTGTGCATTTAGTAAGAGGCCTCAGATTAACATTTAAAACCCTAATTGTTAATATTTCAAGTACAGTAGAGTGTAATACTGCCTACTTCTTTATCACTCTCCCAGATAAAATAATACTTGATACTTGAATGTGATTTAAAATGAAGGTCTTTGTTTTAGGGAAATTCCAATTTTATCAGTGGCATTACATTTATCTCTTGCACTGCTGCTTTCTGCCAGAATACAAGTAACATACTATGAGGGCCCTTGTGAATAAAATAAGGGAAACACTGTAATTGCCTCACGTTCATTCTCTTTATCTGTTGTCCTATATGAAAGCAAAAACGTTATAGCAATGGTGGTGTTTTATCCTGGAAAAATACTGATAGGGGGATGTAGAGGATCCTTACCTGGAAAGGCTCTGTCTCCTGCTTGTCTGTTTATTGCAGTTCTGGACCCGTATTTCTGCGGACTTGTTGTTTATCCATGACATTTTTTCCCTCTGAGAATGTAATCGTTCTTGAGTAAGAACAATAGTGTTATGAAAACCCTCTGAAGCTCCATGAAAATACAGTTGTAAAAATGTTCCAGCAGAACATCTGAGCAGATGAATTAATCCTCCTGCCTGTGCATCTGACATAGGACTGGTGCTGTGCTTTTTGGTAGGCTGCCATCAGTGGTGGAGTGCAAGTAAAGAATCTCTCAGTTGTTATCAGTGTTATCAGTGACTGTAGGTGTTTCAGAACATTTTATGGGGCCTCAGGTATTTTAAGGTATTGAGCGTCTCTAGCTTTCCATAATGTTTCTTCAGTGGGAGTGTGCCATAGCTCTTAAACGCAGCGTGATCTTTAAATTTTTCTTTTCTACTTTCTTTTATCTTAGCCTCCAATAATAGGTTATAACCTCTAATTCTTAAATAAATCGCCTCGAAAGATGATTTAGTGGTGTCCTTTATCAATAGTTCTAGATTCAAATAATTCAAATAAATAAGCAAATAGGAGATGTTTTAAATAAATAGCATTTCTGAAAACTGAAATGTAGCTGCGTTTTTAAAATACTTCGCAGTTAGTCTCTGAACTTTGGCGGTATTCTTCATAGAACTGAACTTAAAATAGTTGAACAATTCTCTTCTCTTGGATAATAGCTCTTTTTTGATGGTTCCCACAGGGGTTTAGTGTCTTGACTGAGGATTCTTCAGCATAGCTTCCCTAATTCTCTATTTTTTCACTTCTGTGTTTAATGTATCAGTTCAGGGCTTGTCTACACAAGATACCGAGGAAAATTGATGCAAGTCAACTAAATGTAGGGATTTAAAGAGGGCAGCTTAAATCCTACCAAGTCTCTGTATGCACTCTCCCATTCATAATTAAAGTGGCCTCCAGTGAATTTAGTTTAATTCACTTTGAAGGCAAGATAAGCCAAACCAAGGCCACATTTTATTCCCAGATGAAAGTGTTTGCAAAGGAATTTAATGGACATGGACAAATCCAGTTAAATTAATTTGGGTTAATTTTCCTGAGTTCCATTGTGTAGACAAAACCTTAGTAATAATGCCTGATTGGAGCTTTTATTTTTCTTCCTTCTGGTTCTTCACCTTTTGTTCCTATAACTCTCATATTTTATACTTGAGAAGGTAGATGGCCCATAATTGTACTAGTCACTAAATGTTGTCTTGTTATCTTACATGTTTTGAGAGTCCACGTTTTATAATTAACATATAAATGCCCCACTTTGCCATCAGGTCTAGTGCATGTTACCTTTTGTTAGACAGTTATCATTTTGGCTGCTTTAACTAGTGCTTTTTAATTCATCACTGTAACTACATCTGCTGTCAAGACCTTACCCATTCAGCAAGTTTTTAAAGCATTTTTTATGGATTTTGCAGAACTGGGTGATTATTATTGCAAATAAGTTGTGACCGCAGGTCCCTTCTGTAATGTAATTATGCAATGCCTCTTAATGGAGTGATTTGCCATTCTGGTGGTAGAACTCAGTCAAGTGCAGCTAATCTGGATGGAGTCAGCTTAAAGGTGCTTGTAGGACTTAGGAGCTGGTCTTCCTAGCTCAGTACAGAGGCTTTAAAGAGTATTTTGGTGAAGTGTACAATAACTTAAGCAGTACAGTTTGTGCAGATATGCTTCCTGAATAATATTTTCTTTCTTTCATTGGAGTTCTGTGAGCAGCATGGGCTTAGTCGTACAAAACAGATTGCAAAATTTAGGTCCACTTCATCTGTGATCAAAGTGTGTAATATACATTTAGTTCTATGGGAGATGTTCTTCTGACTGTGAGGTTAAAAACTGGCTTTTATCTCTATGTTCTTGGCAGCTAAAACTGGAAGCTATTTGAAGATAAAAGTCTGTTTAAAACAAAACAGGTACGAGGCTGGTGAAGTAATCTCTCATCTAATTTGAATGGAATGAATACAAAGTGTAAAAGTAAAATACGTAAGAGATATGCTCTTTTTTTATTGGCCTTTAAAATTCTGTGTTATAGGAGTCTGAGCAAAAATATCTACTCTTGACTTCAATTAAGTCCTCTATGATCTGTGAGATCTGTTCTAAGAGTGTTTGGCTTAAGCAGCTTTATGCATTGTGTGAAAAAGCTGCCTTGTGTCCAGTGATTTACGGTCAAATTTGAATTTCTGGTGGCTGGAGTATCCTGCTGGTAGGCAGCATCAGTGCCATGCAAGTTAGGGCAATACTGGAGAGATTTTCTAGAAGTTGAAGGCCTGGAATCTCTGGGAACAGTGAAATCACTGCAGAGGGAGCTAGGCTGTCCTGAGTGAACAAAAGGTGTGGAATATTTCTTTGCAACCAGTTTTGTTGTTTGCCACTCAATCACCTGAGAGCTACTTTTGTTAGGAAACAGAGCGAGCTTCTATTTGAATGTGTTTATTGAGACACCATGCGTCTTTCCAACTAAAGTCATCGTGTCTAGGAAAAAACTGTCTTGAGAACTTAAGAATTTTCTGGGAAAACTTGATGTCAGAATTTCTGTCCAGTTGTTTGTATTTATTTATGGTCTTGTGCAGTCTTGACAAAATAAGGTGAACATTTAAATAAATAAATAAATAAATAAAATAATCCCCAAGTCCTGGATCTTTCAGTATTTCAGGTGTGATTCAGGTGCCTGAATACGCACCTGATAAGTATTATAGGTAGAAACAGGTGATTCAGGTACCTTACTTACACATAGATGTGTTGCCATTTTGAAAGCTCTGTATTATCTGTGATAGCCACATGGGACTAGCAAATATGATGCAGACCCATACACTTCTGGAGCAGCGGCTGAAACCCAGAAGGTACTACGTGGTATCTAGAGTAGCACTAGCTACATACCTTTATGTGCCTGAATTGATTTCTATGTGGTTTATTAGACTGTGCAGTCATGTTTTACCTCTGCTTTCTCCTTTTTGACATAACTTTTCTCTGAATCCCATGTGTTTGTTTTCCTCCTTCCAATTACTGGATCATGGTAAATAAATAAATAAAAAAACCTGAATTACAAATCTGTACACCTTTCTTTATACAGCTAGAGATGCTGTTGAGTAATTTGCCAGATAATTTCTCCTCTTAAATTTTGAGAGTTGCACAATGTCATACACAACTGTCATCGGTCAGGTTGGAATTTTAAGACTTCACATTTTGTAGCTTCTGCTTTGGAATTTCTCTGAAATTGAGTTCTTCCTCCTGGTTATTTTTTAGTTGATCTAAAAAAAAAATAAAATCATGCTTCCAGGATGTAATACTACAGTTATACTAATACTTGTTAAAACCCAATCAACCAACAAACAAACAAAAAAACCCAGAATAAAATTGAATGCAAAAATATACACCTTTTAAGAAAAATCACCCCCTCCCCCCCCCGGAAAGGTAGTTATTGCTGAAAATTTCCCTTTCAGAATTCAAAGTTAGCGTGTTTCAGTTTTGACTTAACATAATCACTATGGTAGATTTGTCCAAGGATATGTTTTATAGAAGTAATACATAAATAAGCATTATTGATTTAGTGTAGTCATTCTAGTAGTGCATTGGTTGGGTAATATACTCATCTGCAAATGACACATGGCTTGTGGCAGTCTAAATAGTGGATTCTTATTAACACAAAAAAAC